TCCAACCGTCTCAGGAGATCAGATCTACCGCACTCTAGCTGACAATCACTGGACTAGATTGCATTTAATGTTTTGAGGCAAAACCGTGGAAATTAACATATAATATCCTAGATGAGAGGGAGCCGGCAAAGACAAGGGAGACCGTAATGGCCATTTTTGACTTATTAGCCAGTCATACCCAACCCCAAGTGTGGATCACTTGAGATTCGAACCCGGGATCTTTGGTCATGGAGTTTGACGCTCTACCACTAGGCCACGGGCCCGTTGTCCTGTCGGTTGTGATCGGGAATATCAATTATGACAGATGAGCGCTCACCGATCAGGTTAGAGAACATGCTCTTTCTGTTGTGCCTTGGGGCTCATACTTAAACCCTCGCAGGCAGTCGCTCAGCGACTTGTGATATAGGTAGATAAGGTTATACCGACAAAGACCAGGGAGACCAGAGGGGCCATTTCTGGCGTATTAGCTGTCATCAGCCAGTCATACCCGACCTCAAGTGTGGATCACTTGAGATTCGAACCTGGGATCTTTGGTCATGGAGTTTGACGCTCTACAACTGAGCCACGGGCCCGTTCTCTTGTCGGTTGTGATCGGGAATACAAATAATAACAGTGGGCGCTCGCCGATTAGGTTACGGCTGATGACGGCTCATAAGCCAGAAGTGGCCATTCCGGTCTCCATTGTCTTTGTCGGCTCCGTCACATCTATGTCTACTACTAGTCGCTGTGCGTTTGCCTGCGAGGGTTCTTGTATGAGCCCCAAGACACAACGGAACGGGCATGTTCCGTAACCTGATCAGCGAGCGCCCACTGTCATAATATAATATCCTTTCTAACTTTTCTTTTGTAACGCGATTTTGCTCTTTACCACAAACTATGCACAGACCTTTGGCGACGGATGGGGTTTGTTGTACTTTTGGCCATGTGTTCGGTATCGGTTGTAAGGTTTGTCAGGCAGGAAATCCCGTTAACGTGTCAAGCGTAGAATTCAAGGCCTTTATGCAAACTTGTCTCCTTAACAATTGTTGCTGATCACCCCGTGACCTCCTCATATTTTTAATTTCTATGTAGCTGCACTGACCTGGTGACGGGTTTTTCGACAACACACGTTTTCCACATTGACTCTTCAAATGTAACACGGCGATATTCGCAGAACTTAAACGTATATACCTTCGTCATTAACTAAGTATAAGTGGAATTCAAACCGTCCAAAGCCATTGTAAAATAAGTTGGACAATACTTTGCAGTGCATCTGGACGGGTTAGAGAATGCCGGGTTGGGCAATTTCAAATTATATGAACACTCCAGTTGGCTCTTTTATCTGCATTTTCATTGCGCTGCAGGTGTTGGTCTGTAATCTCTTGAGCACGTAAGACGGATTTAACTTTCAACGCCTCAAGACGACCTGTAACTTCCGAACATATTTGCTTTCTTATTCAAGGTGTTTGCGTAAAACCTGAATCCGGGGGTTCGTTCATTTCAAGTTTTTGCCTTCTTTATTCCTAGCAAATTATGAGGTCTGCCAGAATCAACATGGAATTTCATAACAACTAAAGTGCGTTTCCAAAACCATTTTTTTCAAAATTCTCCAAAAGGTTTACTTTAAACTCAGGGTCTACATATAAAAACAACGTTGTGTTTCCGAAATCTCACTCTTCATACGATTTTTTTGCAATTTAGCGAATATTTTACCCATTCAGTGAGTCGACTTGAACTGCCATTTTCCCTGGAATATAAAGATACGTTGCCCAAGCGTTAACAGGTGTTTGTTGACGTGTGTACCTGCACTACTTAAGGTCCTAGGCCTTCTGATCAGAGGAATGGTTAAATATATTCTATATAAATATATATACTAGTCGAATAACAGTCTGTAACAAAGCGGACTCTTTCGTCAAGGGTGCACAATTTTGAGTAGGAAAATATCGTTGATCACCCCGGCTGTCATTGGTCAGTGAGAGCCTCAGACGCTGAGTGAGCAGCTGGCGACCCGATGAGTTTATTAAATTTTTCGATTTATACGGACCATAAACCTTTTGCAATTTTGGATATCCGTGAAGAATTTAAAGCGGACAGTATTGACAAGAGCTAATGTTGACAGTAGCCGTCCTAACCGACTAGTTCGCATACCGTCCTAACTACGCGCTCATACGCGGCCCTATCGATCCGCCCACAGGGCGCTCGCATGCTGATATCGCGCCAGCCACAGGTAGGATAAGAGGGATGCCCAGGCACTCAGTTAATTTATAAATCTGGTCGACACGATAAAAGTTCAAGGCCACGACCTGGTTGGCTCAATTCGAAGCCGCCGCTGCGCATGTCTCTATGTACTATTTATCGCCTGATCTTCGCTGTTAGGACTCAGCAAATCCATTTTTTTCTACCCTTGCTGTTGAGTTTTCATTTGGGCAATCGATTGCGGAGATATGTAGAAATGGCTATTAGCTAACAGTTAGGGCAAGAACGTCACAGTTATACAAACGGATTTGCGGGATAGAATTACTGACAGCGACACGGGAAACTGCTATTTTCACTTGTAGTGTATTAGCGTACGTAAGCCATTCTTTCCCAACCGTAATTTTGACGACATATGGCTCTCAGATAACCAGGTTTATATGTAATTTACCATTGTCTTGGGCACAGCTGTCAGTTTTCCAGAACATCTTAAATAATCTAGGCGTCTATCACAACGCGGTGTCTCTCGTGCGCAATTGCGTTCGCACCGATAGCAGCCTGGTACTCGGCCAATCACAGCTACCCAAAAGGACAAATTAATTTCAGGGGCGAATCAGACATGTCCTCGCACTGTGACGACTCCTGGCGCCGGATCTGCGCCCTTATCCGACCGCAAACCTGTCTCAACTTGCTCAACAGTCATTCTGTGCGGAATACAGTGCCCTCTGAACTGGCACCCAACTTCTTTTTTCTTCCCCGGACTGCGTCTGAAGGTCGCGGTGACGAATGTCTGTCTGTCACTCAAGTTGCGGATATAGTTCTTTACAAGAGACTAAAGGCAGAATCAGGTGAGGAGGGTAAACCCAACGCATAGTCACATGTACATGCATGGCCGACTTGTCTCATTCAAGATTGCACTTTGTTTGTGAATTGTGTTTGCCCATGTCTTGTGAGTCACAACAAATGTAGACTCTGGTGAACGGACAAATCATTTCGTCCCGAAAAGTCCCTTATATGCTTTGTTCCTCTGGATAAGTATGACCTATTGGATGCATTGCAAATATGTAGACATTTACTCACACCAAAGTAATTTATATTTCATTGAAAATATGCATGAGTTCAAGTTTGCTTGAAGCCGTCTGCACGAAGCAGAAAGGAGACATGCCCAAAATGACGTCAAAAAGGTATGCTTCACTTGTCGCGTCTGGAGAGGTAGGACAATTTCTTAATTTACAGTACGAGACCTATCTCAAGAAACCTGTTGACAGAATCTGATGTGAGAATTAAGGACGTTTTAAACGTTGCGCATTTTGATTTCCCGCACAGCTACCTTTAGAAAATGTCCTCAACTTGGGCTGAAATTTCGTCCACGTAATTTGTTCAGGCAAAATGTTTAATCGCTTGATCGAAAATGGGCCTCGCCACGATAATGCTTGTTATGGAATTCCATTGCCTAGTTGAGCGCGGTTTCCCGATCGAAAACTGACAGGGCAACGGACTCGTGGCCCGGTGAGTAGAGGCGTTGACTTCTAAACCAACAGGTCGCGAGTTCGAGGCTCGGGTGTTCCACACTTCGGGCTTGGGTATGGCTGGCTGACGACAGCTAATAAGCCAGAAGTGGCCACTCCATTCTCCCTTGTCTTTGTCGGTAATCGCATTCTGCCTATATATCATGCGCCGCTGTGCGGCTGCTGGTTGGACTCGAGAGAGAGTCCATAAGGCACAACGGAACTTGTGAGTTCCGTATAAACGATCGGTGAGCGCCCCCTAACAACACTATCAGAGGACAAGATTCGCATCTTAGGCGTCTGCACTGCTGAAAAACCGGGAACTTTTTGAAACCATCGATTCAGGTGTGTCGTGCATTGCCTACCCTACTGGATTAACGTTCCTGTATAAAATATCGCAGAGAAATAGAAGGGGCGGCTCCTTGCAGTGTTCTCTATCTACAATGAAAATAATAAAAAATATCAGTTGTTTAATAGGAATGAGTTGGTGTAAATCTCGAACCGACTTAAATCCCAGTTGTACTTTTGCTATACTGTGTCTGCTTTTTTTATTTTTGCCGTTTTTTTGTTAGGGATTGAGTACGAATAACGATCGAAGAAATCTTATAGTGCAGTTGTGTAGGGAGGATCTGCTCGTTGTGCTTTACAGTATAATTTGCGTCAACATAACAGATTTTTTCAAGCGATTCCGACAATTAAAGTGCACAGGGCACTCAGCTAGGTTTTTTTCAAAGCCTCCGTTGCCGTTGGAGTATCGCGCTTAATGTATATGTTCATGCACGGCGGCTCGCTTATTTTGAATGGTCATCGTGCTGCATAAGTGACACAGTGCAGAGTAGGTGAAATGGGTTTCATTTTAAAAAAATATCTAAGTACGGTTGTAAAATTAATCGATGCAAATCGTTATTCTATAATTGCCCTGTTGCCTCAGGATGCCGACATTTGAACGAACTTCTTTGTGGTGCACTTCCCTTACTATAATCAGTCTGCCGAGCTTGGATGTATCACAGTGAGCTAAAAGCCATGAATTGAAAGCTTGGAAACTAAAGAGATAATTTGGGCCTCGTAGTTGGCTCAGTGTATGCGGTCAAAAGGTCTGACAGTGTCTACAAGAATGGTGTCAAAAAGCCATAGAACTCGCAGTCTAGTATGCGCTGACAGCTCTTTGACGTGTCATGGGCATGGCTGCACAGTCACCCTTGTCTCTGCAGCTGTCTTTGTTGTTGTTGTTGTTGTTGCTTTCGTTGTTGTTAATGATGTCATTTTTTAAAATCCTGGGCCAGAGTTGTTGCGGTACGCCCATGTGGGGGCTGCACTGTGTCATCCACCTGCGCCCTCGCCCGCCTCCTTATCATCCTTCTCCTCCTCCTCCTCCTCCTCCTCCTCCTCCTCATCATCATCATCATCATCATCGTTACCACCACCACCATCATCATCACCACCACTACTACCATCACACCCACCCCCATCATCCTTCACCTTTGCCATATTTATCTCCTTCTTCTAGTCCCCTTCTCTCTTTCTCCTATTCCGATTACTATAACTACTTCTAAAAATCGTCCTCGATCGTAGCGAGCTCTGATACATCGAATGATTTTCTAGGTTAAGGGGGTGCATGATCCACTGATGTGCCTAATGTAGAGAAACAATTTGGGCTATGGAATACTCAGGGTGCAAATGACAGATTTTCATTTCGCGTCTTTGCGACGCAAATTTACCTGGCCCAAGTAATCCATCATTACTGTTTCCCCAACAGGATGCGACCTCCTCTTTCACTGTCAGTTCCTTCCTGCACACTCCTGTTTCACTGTTATGGGCTAAGGATCAGCCATTTGTCGCGTCAGTGCCAAGCTCGGAAGCCGGTAAATAAAATAGCTTGTTAAATCATTCCAAATTTTAATGAGAAGCAATGGAACTGAAAAATAAGGTTGTTATACAATCTGCATATGGCGGAATACCTTGGAACATTGTGTGCTGCAATCCCATGAGCGAAAGTGTATAAGTCAAACACTTGAGCGTAATTACAACTTGTAGTTAGGCGGACGAGAACGATTTCTACAAATGGCCGCAGCATTTAGAAAAAAAATGTGACGGCGATTAAAATTTTGCCCATGATGAAGCTGGTGTGTTGTGCCGTGACGGTGGACGTTAAGCTAACAGATAGCGCAAATCCATGTCAGAATGTAAATTGACGAGGGTTTTATAATATGCCCATTCATTGCCTTACACAACTTCGGGCTTACCAATTCGCATTTGACACCCGTATTCACGGGTACTGAATATGTTTGCGCTTGTTGGATTTAAAATGGCCAGAATGAATTGCGGTGCAGAGGAGACAAAGAGAAATGAAATCCAGGGGAACGTTTGTGAGACCAAATTGATTGTTATTCTCATGCACATGCAAGCGATCTGCGGCCGCCATTTTATGGAAAATATATCGAGACTCTGGTATCTTCAATATATGAAGGCGCCACGGAGTTTAACTTTTGAGTGGAAAAATTCCGATATTTGTTGTTTGTCTTTCCGCGCAGAAATTGTGAGAGCACTGGCATGTTTGGCTATTATTGATGCACTAGAGCCCGCTGGGATTTTAAGTACCCACCTTTAGAGCAAAACTCATATTTCTGACCAATTGTTTGGCCGTGATCATATATGCTTCTTGTTCATGCGATTCTAGGAGCTATGGGTGGTGTGAAGAGTCCTCAACAGCTAACGTAACATACATGTCCTCATACCCTGCTTGATCAAAAGACACATCCACCATTTCATGGTCAGTCTTTTACCGTGCCGTGAAGAGGAGGCAATATTCCCTGACCACATCCGTCTTTTGTCATTTAAATAACGTTGTTTCTCTACATAGTCTCCTCCAGACCAAACGCTTGGATGTAGATTAGACCGACAATGGGATTGCTTTTGCTACATAAGTAGGCTTTTTTGAAGCAAGACCTAGCAAGGGGTCGGGGTTTGCAAAGAAGTGCGTGATGTGCGATGGGAGACGCCAGACTGACTTAAGCAACCCGTGCAGACATTTACCGCGTCCTGAAAGATTGAATGGTAGTACTTGGCGGGGACTCAGCAGGGTAATTACTTTACACATCAGGTCCTGGATTAGACCAGTCACGGGATCCGCCGGCACTTATCTTGTTCCTCGTACCAATTGTCTGTACGCTGATCGGAGGTGAGTGGATGATCTGCAGCTGCAAATGCGTAACACAGCATCCGCTTACCCCGCATATGACCTGGTGGTGTCACTCGGTTTCTGACAGGCCTTCAAATATCAAAGAGGACTGGGAGTGTCAAAAGCGCCGAATAAGGACGCGTTTGTTGTCAGAGTGGAAAGCAAACTCAAAGAGTTTCCAATTGTCGACGACAGGAAACTGCGCAATCCACATGTCAAGAAAGAGGAGAAATGCTGGACAATACGTAATGATATGAAGGAACGTAAAGAACGTGCACCGAGCTGTTTCCTCAGACGTTATTTGTGTGCTAGTGTCCAACGTTGAGGTTCCTTGCTTCTAGCGCGGATGGGCGCATCTCTGCTGTCCCCGAAGGAATAGCGTCAATTCATTCAGAGTTCCCGTTAGGGTCGCACTCCGTTCGGGTGGATAAAATCGACAAAAGAAAAGTAGTGAGATCGAACAAACACGCTATAGATCAAAAGGAGTGTTATCGGCGGCGCTTGTGACGGTAACGTGCAGGAGGGATGCGTAGTAATAGGGACGACTGCAGTAAACAGTTAGTTAAGTCGTTGGAGCGAACGCCAAAGGCGAATCCGTATGTCGTATCGGCCTTTATGCGTTTGAGAAAGCAGATGCGTTGGTGAAAGAGATGAAAGATGACAAATACCGGGAAAGACGTCCAGGTGCTGAAATTGAGGGCGGTACAGTCCTTATGGAGGGCATCGATACCAATGCCTGGACTCGATTGTTATGTCCCTTATTTTCCTTTCTTAGCGAAATACCATTTCTCTTCAGGCATGCTGCCCAAGTGCGTTTCTATAAATTGCTACGTTTTGGTTAGTCGTAATCTCCACACTAATTTCAGAGCAGAGCACATTTATATTTAACCTTTTAATTATTCCCTTCAACTTAGTTTTGAGCAGCAGCTCGCTTCCAGGCCGTGGAACTCGCTTCCAAGCGAGAACGTGACGGCTGACACAGTTTGTGTGTTTAAATGAAAACTTACTTGTCTAGTTTTCAACAGAAATCGGCTTGTACAGCATGACTATGCACAGCCGATTTTGTAAAATCTGTCATATAAAATCTTTCGCACTAATTTACAGTGACCCTCTGCATTACTTTATGATAATGACTGACCTGTGACCCAATCACATTTTAAATGTCTGCAATTTTATTTTATTTTTGAGTATGAGTCTGCGAAAGCACTGTACCTAAATTGGGTCATCAAGGGCTCTGCCTGTAACCCTTCAATATATACATATACATGTGAGTTGTGATGAGCAAAACCTACATCTCCGGAAAGCGCTCAGTATAGTCCCTCACAACGTTAGATCAGTCTTGCAAATGTTGGCACAACAAAGCAGCATGGCCTTTGAAGTTGACTCAGGTATTTTGTGCATTGCAGAGTCTCGGACTCCATGTCTAATTTTAGATTGGACGCTAGCTAATGATTGCCTCTGCTTATACCGATGGAATCATGTTGAAGAACTTGGTGGTGGCTGTCTTGTTTACATCAGTACCCTTACTTGCACATTCGCTTTTTAACCTGAGCATTTCTTACGTCTCTGGAAATCAGTGTTTCTCTATGTTTATCCTTTCGCAAAAAAGAAGGCCTTAATTGGATATATACATAATCCTCCTTTTTACTGCGGAAATGAAGACTTATCCTTCGAACACTTTGAAAAAATTGCGGAGACCTTATACAACGTTAAGAGATTCGTAGATATTAGTTTGCCAGAAATTGATCGGCGTACACATAATTCCTTTCCTAAATTCCAGAAGCTTCTGGGCACCATTCATCCTCCAGTCTTGTCGTAAGTACTCCTATTTTTGAACAGAACTAATAGTTTACTGTATGTAATGTTTACAAATTGTATCGTATCTCTATCTGTGGATTTCCACCGTGACTTTTCTTAATGTCATCATGCATTAATTTTTTGTCGGTTTCGAGTTGCCATTTCCGCAATGCGACCTTAAAACTTACCTATTTTGTCTATGCTTATATTGCTGGTGCATTTGGCGAGGGGGTGAGGTGGAGAGAAGTTATCCAAGTATGAGAGAACTTGTGCAGCGTGAGTTAAAGTGCAACGAACAAGTTCTCTCATACTTGGATGACTTTTCTCCCCCTCCACCCCCGTCCATATGCACCCACATACTAGACCCATGTTTCAGGATGTAGTTAACGCTGTTACAAGCCCTTTTGATTGGCGGCCGCTGACGAATTACAAAGAACAGACATCATTCCACAAAAAACGACTACTGATGTCGGTGAGATTGCAAATATTAGGGATAAAGCGACGTATTCTTCACATTTTTTCCAATCAGTCTATACAAACGAGGCAAGATTCCTTTTTTACTAATAGAAAAACTGCCGATCCCGAGCGTCAGTGAAATACTATTCTCAAAAGGCATTGCCGAAGAGAATAAGAGGCAATAAACGAAACAAAGTCGCCAGGACCAGATGAGATTCCACCCAAGCTTCTCAAGTAACTTGTCAATGAGCTTGCTGTGCCTGTGTCAATGCTCAGCGTCATTCCAATAGACTGGAAGCTGTCGTATATTTCTCCGCTTTACAAAGTAGGTGGCAGGGTAGCGATGATAAACTACAGGCCCATAAGCTGGACGTTTATCCTCTGCAAAGTTATCGAAAGGTTCATAAAGAGTGAACTGATACAACTCCTGGAAGCTCAAGGTCTACTCTTACATTAACTAAAAAATAAGGATAGGTGGCTACTTCCCTAAATTGATCAAAAACTTGCTCTTGGGTCGTCATCAGGTTGTGTACATCGGTCAAGGCAAATCAGATCCTGCTGTGATTGGTATAGATGCCCCCAGGGTTTTGTACTAAGACCCATTTTGTTTCTTTAATACGTGAACGATGCCGCAAGAGCTTTAGAATGCGAAGTAGCAATGCTGGTCGATGGCATGAAGATATGGAATGTAATTCGGGGTCCTGTCGACGAAGACAGAAAATGCCAGTGGGTCTTAATCGGTTGGAGGAGTGGTTAAACCGTTGGCTCCTGCGGTTCAACGTTGGAAAATGTGGCATTCTTCGCCTAGGCAATACAGCGAGATCCGCCAGCACAAAACAGTACCTTCAGGGCGGTGCAGCCCTACAAGATGTCGAAGCCCAAACGGACCTCGCTGTGCTGACAACAAATTCTCTAAAACCCTCCTCCCATTGTTCGAGAGTGGCAAAAACGTAATGTCCGTACTGTACGCCATCAAGCGTGCGTTTATGGGTTTTGAAGAAGTTGATTTCCTAAAGAGATTCGAAAAATTCTTCCTGCCGAATATGGATAACGTCATACAAGCCTTGAGAATGTGGGTGGTTGATGGTAAAATTGTCTCGAAAGAGTGCAAATGAGAGCCAGAAAGACGGTTAGGGGTCGAAGATCCTTTCGTTATGCAAACAGCCTAGTAACTTTAACCCTGTAAAGAAAATGAGGATTCGATCTCTGGCACAGTACGTTTATTAGTCTGAGCTTTCTGTTTCGTACAGGAGGCCATCGTCAGAGACTGTGAGAAGGCAACATCAAATGAGCTGTTTTCGTAGTCACGCCGTGAAGGGGGGAGAGATATGAGTGCAGAGGGTGGTATTCGCGAAAAGTTGAGTCCCACGCCGTCTCACGGCGGCGTGACTGCGTGCACCCTTGACTGGAAATTGGTTCTTGCCCCTTGGCCGCGGGAACGGAGCGCGTGATAGCAGGGGGTATGTCAACGTGCCTGTTTATAGAGTAAGTGTCAGACACCCAGGCCTCTAACAGTTCTCGTCCAGTCTTTTTGTTGGCCCCCGCCACTATCCGCATGCTCGCAAAGTTGAAGTCGTGGCCGTCCTCCATGGTGTGAGTGGCGACCTGAGACAACGGGTCGCCTCTACGGATCGCCTGTTTATGCTCGGTATTCGTGAGCTTAGTCGTCGACGGTTTGTCCTGTATAGTGGCGAGGGCAGTCCCGACATGGGATCTGATAGACGACACCCGATTGTTCTCCCACGTCTAAGCGATGCCTCACTTGCATGATTTTGCTGCGCATAGTCGCTGTCGGACGGTGAGCGATACCCACCCCGAGCTCTCCAGCGATACGTTCCATCGCTTCGGACACGTTCTTTATATTTGGCAGAGGGTGCCAGAGTGTTGGCGGCTCTCCTCCGTTTGTTCATCGTGGGCGCGTGAACGGGCAGCGACCGACGAAGCTGTTCGGATATCCATTCCTTGCTAGTTGGTCCCGAAGATGCCGAAGTTCTCGTACTCGTCCCTCTGGTTTACCGCAGTGCCTTTTTATAGCCTCTGGAAGAGTGTCCTAACACAGCTGCTTTTATGCGCCATTACATGGTTACTGTGGTAGTTGAGAATTTGAGTCGTGTTAGTCGTCTTTCTGTACACCGTGGTGTTGAGTTCGCCGTTGGGTTTGCGTGTGACGAGAAAGTCAAGGAAAGGCAGTTTTCGGCATGCTCTTCTTCCCTTGTGAACTAAATGTCTGGGAAGATGCCGCTGAGCAGGTCTTAGAAGCCGGCCAGTCTACTCCTTTAAATGATGAAGAACGTGTCGTCCACGTACCGGCGCCAAAATACAGGTTCATAGTGGTCGAAGGCGACTTTTTCCAGTTCCTGCAGGACTAGTTCTGCAACCAGGCTGGATATTGGCGAACCCATCGGCGTTCGTTTGATCTTTTCGTATGTTCTGTCATTGAAGGTGAAGAAGGTTTGTTGGCTTTCTTCCAGAGATAGGGTCTTCATCTTCTCTACAAAAAGAACCTGGGATTCGCATATTCGCATCCGTCCGTGAAATTTAACCCTATTTCCTTTGAGTTACAGGCAACTACGTCAGAATCCCTTGCAAGCATTCAGCAATGCGAAAAGGTTGGATTGCAGCATGACATTCGAGGACTTTTTTGAATTTGCTACCACGATCAAACACCGAGGTCACTCGTTCAAACTGAGCACTCACTAGGCAAGTCTGGATGTGCGGAAGTTCTAATACTCTGCTGTAGTGGTCAATATATGGGATGTCCTTCACGCGGATGTTGTGATGTCACCGTCAATACAAAGTTTTAAAAAAAACCTTGACATATCTATGTCCCGAAATGAACAATAGCGATGACAATTCGAGCTCACCACCTGTAACTCGTTCCAATTTTGTCCTACAATTCTGGGCTCGTCTGACCTTTTTTAGCCAAGAACATATGTTGATATACTACACATTTCTCACGTTGCAATTAAGGCACTCAAAGACTTATGTCTATTTCCTTCAATAAATTGAACAGAACTTAACTGAACTAATACCCTCATTACAAAGGGGTCTGGCAAAATATAAATGCTAAATTAATTCTTTGTCAAACATTTCACTATTGAAGCTGGCCTAGTCTCCTTACTTCGTTCGTTGTCTGATGCCTCCCTTACCACCATTACGTTTGCTCCTGCAATTATTCATATACAAGCAGACTAGTTCTCACCCAATACGAACAGAAGGTATTCCAAACTGTCTTATAAAGATTTTCCTTCTTCGCTTAGAAAATTCTGGTCTCCCTCGAATTGGCTTATTTTTTGACTATTCGGAAACATTAATTATTAATCCCAGTATTTGAATCTAGTTGTCGTTCTGATGTTAAAAACTACCGATGTGTCCATAAAACATCCTCACTCGTCAAAATCGTTAAAAATTATCGCCATACATTACTGGCTTTTGTATAACCAGCCTTTCCCACATATGGCATTTTACCCAATCAATCTTGTCAAAGGTGTCATATGTAGTTTTTAAATCCACTTATTTCTCTTCGTTATGAGCATTTATCTGTTGTTCTCGCCATTTATTTAAATCTTAGTAAAGCCTTTGATAAAGTACCACATAGAGGACTCTTGGTTAAATAAGAAGCTTTGGGACTTCACAAACTGTAATTCACTTTATCTAGTCATAGCTGTGAAATCGTAAACAAATGGTATTTATGGGACATTGTTTTTCCAAGGAGGGCCATATTGTAAGGGGTGTCGTACAAGGAAAGTTTTAGGCCGTTCTTTGTTCTTTTTTTACATAAATGCTATCTAGGCGGCAGTTAAATATCCATAGTCATTTATTAATGTCAATGATCCGAAGTGTGTATATCCATTCAACACATATTCGGGGTCCCATCAAAAAGTACAAATAAATTTACATAGAATGTTAAACGAGGTAGGCAGAATCGGTACAAAACGCAATTCATAGTTTCTGGATTCGTCGTCTGTTGAGAAAAATGATCAGCGACAGGCGAAATAACTCCACTTAAAAATTTAATAAAACTGATTGGATCAGTTTAACACGAGAAAAGACCCCTCGATAGAAAATAATCAGAGAAAAATGCGGGCAGGACCGACCTGCATGTGGCGTATATGACGAATTATAATTAGACATTGTCAGGGCAGAAATAAATTTCAGCCTTCAGGGATACGTATGCAGATCAGTCAGGAGTGGCCTGCATGAGGTATTGTATATATGATTCAGAATTGACATTGGCAGGGCAGAATTGATAGGCCGGATGGGACTATTCGTGTCACAAAGGCCGGACGAGAGGTCAGTAGACGCATTTTGCCGCAGTATGCTTCGGGCACAGCCGAAGAGTGGGGAATAGAGGTACGACCAAACTACTAGTTGATACCGAATACATTGCGTTCCGCCGTGAGCGTCGACAGACCGCAACGGAAAAACAAAAACATTTCATATGAATGTTAGACGAGCTAGGCAGAATCCTTACAAAATGCAATTCATTGTTTCTCATTTAGAAGTGCGTTAAAAATGGTAAGCGAGCAGTGAAAAACCCAGACAATATTTGGAAAAATCAAAAATGTGCCCTCTATGTGGCTGTGTATAACTTATTATAATTAGGCATTGTCAGAGCAGAAATAAGTGTCAGCCTTCAGATGTAGTTATGCGGGTCAAACAGGACGGCCCTGCATGGGGTATATCATTAGGGTTTGAAAACGAGATTCGTCAGGGCAGTAACAGTACGCGGAATAAGGCTATTTGCGCGAAAGTGGCGAAATTAGACGAACCCAGATGCGATCGGTCAGTGTCCGCTTCGAGCCCAGCCGAGGATTGGGCTATGTAACCTGACACTAAGATCCCTTAAGGAGATAATAATAGCATCTATTTCGATAAAAACCGACATATTATTTGCAATTAAGTCTATATTTTTGCCGAGGAGCGGGCAAAAAAGGTATGACCAGACTACTAGTCGAAGGCGAATACGGAGGGTTCCGCCGTGAATATCGACAGACCATTTTTGGTCGAAATGAGAAGGTGACATCAGAAATCGCGAAAATCGTCGTCATTGGGGGAGGAGTGATAGCAGTAGACTTAGTAGCCTTCTCAAAACAGACGTTTTTAAGGATATCAGTGAGGGTTTCCACTTTGTCTAGATCCCAGAAAGCCCTTCTAGAAGTCAGGGAGCTGTGTGTTAGAGACTGAGGCCCTTGCTTTTATACTTGCCGGCGTAAGATATTTACGTTATTTCGATTCGAGTACCGATTACTAAGGCGTCAACCTACTTCTGGCGAGAGAATATTCAAAAGGAAGGAATATATGGAAACGAAAATCGAACGCATAGATGTAGTGCATAGAGGCGGCGCAATCACCATGGAGTTGTTGCGCGTGGCATAACAGCAATCCGTCAGAGTGAGTGTCGATTGCGAAAGATTGTAGCTAGAGTTAATGCGCAAAAAGAAGCAAATGCCAGCCTCGAGTCTTCTAACCCACAAAAACCTTATATTCGCCAGCTTACATCGCCGTGTATAAGAAGTACGGGATGTGACTTGAGGGAACAGTTCCCAGATAAAAACCCTCTGACAATTTACGGTCACAGGCGTTTAATATGCCTGAGAAAAGACATCAGGACTTGAAGAAAAAGCACTTGGTAAATTATTAGTGTCATTTCAAGAAAGTGAATATCACGCGACATGTACACAGATATCTGCTTGGCTTTCGCAGAGATTCTATCTGCATCATGATATATAGCAAGTTTATTTGCACAATTTTAACGTTGATGCTTTATGGTGAAGGTTTCTGCGTGTACGTTATCCTGATCGAGCATTGTACAAGGAAATTTGGCAAGACCAAAAGACATGAAACTGCGCTTGGATGATGAAAACCCCATCTGCCATACTAAATTGCATCTGCTCAAGCGTAGAGAATCGGCATTATTTTTTTCAGGACAAACGCTTCCAATGTCCTTAGAATATGAGTTAGCACACTTGATGTCATTGCCATAAATAGACGTTTAGAATTTCTTAGCTTAGTCGAAATATCATCGATGTAGAGAAGGAAGTACAGTGGACCCCGAGCCGTGCCCTGAAATACGCCACTCGTGATCAAGTGAGGTGTCGAGTAGCTATTATCGCTCAGAACTTTCTGATATCTGTTGGCTAAATGAAGTCTGATGAAGTCAAGTGGAGGCGGCCGGATGCCAGGAGCTTGAAATCTTAACAAAAAGCGTCTAAAATGCGACATGCCGAAGGTTGTGATAAGATTACTGACCACTGACTGCTGCTCATTACGAAGAGAAATGATTAGATAAATAAATGTCATGTGGTAAGTGGGTATTTCAGGTTAAAATACATGATGATCAGATCTCAGAAGTTGATAAGCTAGACAAAAGTCAAGAATGTCCCTGAAGATAATCTTTTTAAGAAGCTTTTCTAGACACGGTGTTTTGGGCATGCCCCGATAGCTACTAACATCGGACCGAGATCCAGACTTGAAGAATGATAATCGGCGTCTTTCATGTTTCCGGAAAGAAAACTTGTGAAATATAAACCGCTAATAAGTTATTAAGTAATATTGGAAGGTCCGATGCCTGCTTAATAATCGAACTTGGAATCCCGTCCGCTTCCGTCCAGTGTGAATTTTTCAAACGACATATGTGTTTCTTAATGAGACCTAAGGATAAATCGATTGTACTCAGTGTCCTATCTGAAAGTGAACGAAATAAAAGGACTTGTTCGAACTCAGAAAAAAGATATTTTGCAATGAAAGCTTTAAACACCTCAGTCTTGTAAGTGACATCGATGACGAAGGTTTTTCTATAGTTTAGCAGGGGAACAAATTCATGAACAATCTTCGTGGAGGACCAATGACGGAAGATGTTACCGAGGTATTTGACAGGGTTCACATCACTCAGGACAAGGGATTCACTTTGCCCGTCATCCGCTTGGCGAATCATTGAGGCCATTTCAAAAGCTCTGTGAATCTGGTAGCGTTTATGAAGTCTTATGTCAAGACTGCCCCCGCCACTGCACAGGACAGAGCTGACGATGAATTCAATTTCCCGAGCACGCCGATCGTAGCGCGGGCCAGCAATAAAACAAGGCGAGTACTGCTGGAGGTCTGGGCGTCTAACACTTACTCTATTAACAGACACGTTCATTTAACCCGATTGTCCTCACACGCTCCGCTCACGTTCCCATAGACGAGGGCCAATTCCCAGCCAAAGGTACACGCAGTCACACCGCCATGAGACAGCGTGCGAGTCAGCTTATCTCGAACAAAGGCGGCTCAGCTGGCGTCTCATTCTCACAGTCCTTGACGATGGCTTCCTGAGACTAAAAGCTCAGACTAATGCACCTACTGTCCCTGTAATCGTGTGTTTACCACTTCAACAGTAGTCAGATTATGCTTATTGACAGAGACTTTTTATGTGAAAAGTGATCGGCAGGCGGTGAAAGATTCCCTTACGAATGAAATGAATGAATATGACCGGAATAAATTTAAA